TAGCCAGTTTTAACCCAATTTCATATATGTTTATTATTTATTTCTATTCAATTCCGTAAATACCCATACTATTTTATGTTATGTCGGCTGTATAATTCAATAAAACATGTGCGTACATACATTTACATAGACATAGACAATTTACATTCATGTATACATAAATGTTTTCCGATATTAATATTAAAGTACAAAATGCATGTAACAGACATTTTTATAAATAAATGCATCTATATATAATTATAATTATTCAGGGCTTCTTGCGATCGTATTTAGTCCAAATATTATATGTTTAACTAAAATTGATATCATAGGTAAATCATTGACTGTACTACATATACTGTTGTATTATTTATCGACTATTAACGCAAGTATACTGCACTACAAAAGTTACGTTGTAATGTTATTATTCCTTTTGAAGTGTTCGAGTTGACGTGTCGTCTCTAAACGATACAGTTTATCATCTTTCGATTTAACCATTATGATACCATCAGATGTCCAAGTATTTGTTATAAGATGTTCACGAGCTAGTCTTCGACATTCAAAGAATATCCCGCTTCTCGTATGTGTGAGATCTTCATTTATAAAACTACCTTTAAATTTGGACACACGCAGTTTTGATTTTTGTTTAAACATTTTTGCGCGTGATCTGTAAGAAGTGAACTTTACAATAATGTCGCGATGCTTAGCGTTGATAACAGTGTTAGACGGCCTTCCTAGGCGGTGCGATCTGTCAGTGTCACCCAACTGTATATTTGCACCGATGGACTTCGCAACATCAAGAACAACCTCATCAGTATCTTCTTGGGTAGATTCTTTTAAACCGGAGATTCGGATACAATTACGCCTACTGTATTGATTAGCCTTGTCTTGTGACTCGTTAGCTTCAATGAGTTTGGCTTCGAGATCTGAGACTCTACTTTTAAGATTTTTGTTTTCATTTTCTAAAAAATCTAGCCTATTGTTGATTTTCTGGACAATACCCTCAACAGCATCAGTTACGATAGTTTTTATTTGATCTTGGAAGTTGTGCGAAATGATATTTCCAATTTTTTGAAGGTCCTCATCACTCAGTGTTATTTGAGCAGTTGATGACACTGTTGGTTCTGCTAATGATGTAAGTGAATCTGATTTACATTTCTTAAGATCGTTTGGATCAAACGGAGAAGACAGTTCTCTTTTGCTTTTATCAGAAGGAACTGGGGTAGAACAATTGTTCATGGTGCGTTATTTATGTAGCGTAGTTTACAACAAAAACAGATTAACGTGACCGGTTGGATAACTCGATTTTCTTGGAATGTTTATAATCCTGGTCAGTAGAGCGTGACTCAGGTAAACAAAGGTGAATATATATGAAGTATGTGCGAGTTACGAAGTAAATCTTCAAAGATAACAAAGTCTGTTCACCTGTGAATGTCCTTATTCCAAATATATACATTACATCACATTACATTGTTCTTAACTAAAAACTAGTAGCTTAAGTCACATTTTCACAATGAATTTCTAAGAAAACAGTCCGAGAAATTATCTACTTCCCGAGCATTACACTAACCGGAAGTCAAGCTGGATTTGTTTAAAATTGAACATCAGTGGGCATATTTAAATTACAAATTGTTGTCAGACATATTTTCAAGCATAAGAGTACCGGAACAGACATTAGATGTCAAATATATACATTCGTTTTACATTATCTCTGTTTCTGTTTACATATGTAAACCACGTGGTAAACTTTAAATCCGTATTGTTTCCGAGGCTATTATAGATAATAGCCGAGGCAGTTCCGAATGCACCAGCATAAATGTATTCAAGTTATATTCTGAACCGAAATAAACATATTTTCTGCCACTGCTATAAAGACAGAAATTGATAGAATCCTAAATGAATATTTGTGTTAAATCTAAGAATAATATTTTCCTTTGTATGACACGTGGCCAATGTTTCCATGTAAGTATCCCTTCGTTTTGTAACACTTATATAAAAATCCTTATAAAATTGTATTATAAAGCAGCGATAAAATGTTGAAACTGGCAACTCACTTGCGTAGATGTTGTGCCCGCACAATATGAAAACAGGTTAAATGTTGATGCTACACATCAAAGACGCCGCCAAATGATGTAAACAGTCAATCAGCATTTAAAATTGTTCTCTATTAAGTTGAATATGCGGAGCACAAATCAATTTTCTCCATGTTCTTGGTATGTGCTCGTTGTTTAATAATAACGTTGCATATTTTTGTGAAAAAGTAGAACCTAATGCATAAATTCACAAAGTAATGCCATGTCTGAAATTCTAAAAATGTTTTTTCTGTTGCGTCAAAGATTGAAACGTCTGGTCGAAGCCAAGAAAATGGATAACAAGTAAAATTGTAATGATTGGTATACTTAAACTGAATTCAAGACAATATGTGCCGAGAATATATCCCTTTAAATATTAGTACGAATATTGCATAATGTTCGAATGATTTTGAGGACGAACTGTTCTGCAGTGATCTCCCCTTACTGGCCGTAGCGGTTGCAGAAGAACCGCCTCTCTGATAATGGGTGTGGTTTAGGCTTTGTAACTTGTAATTTAATGATTCGACAAGTGATATTGATCAAAGTTGTCCTGGTTCCCTTCTGCCCCGTCAGCGAAGACTAAATGCTAGCATACGGAGCATCATTTTAAATTTTTGCGACAATTTAAGGCGGAGCCGACCTTCAACAGAAGCGGAGCAAATGAAGTACATGTAATTAACACTGCCTCAATCGTTACCTCTTTTAATGGTTAAGTTTTAGAACGATCGACTATAGACTGGCTCATTGGCACGTTATTTATTATGTAGATAAAATTAGATAAAGATAAAAAGAATATGATATTCAAACATGGCATTATCATTTCAGTTAGACGTTTATTCAAATGCCTTAAAGCTCCGTGACATGTTGTACATCAGAAAAGCTATTTTTATAAGAAAATTTGAGAAGAGTGTGATTTTGTTAAAACAAAAAAAAAATACACAAAATCAAGTCTAAAATTTTCCTCATTGGGATACGGACAAATGCATATCTACTTGACGCCGTAGACGCCGCTTGCAAGCGGCGTCTAATAATTCCTAAAATCAAAGACAATATTTTGAACGACTTCTCCATGTTTCAGTATGACAAACTTTCAACGTTATGGTTATTCTCTTTTTGTAGGCGTGCAAAGAAAAAGCAGCATCCGTGTAATTTATACATAATTCATTTTAGTTCGATTATGTATGAAACTCATAAGCTTTCTCCGGTACTGGAACCAACTAGAACTCAGTTATAAGTGTCAATTTAAATTCCCTGCTTAAGAAAACAACGGCTTTCCCTTAACAGGTTTTGACCATATGCAGTCAGCACCCGTTTTGAAAATTTTAAAATGGCTTTTTAAGGGTATACATTGTATTTATTAATAACATTAATACTGTACGCTTTGAATACATGTTATTTCTTTAAAGTGGCAATACAATTACATATATTTATTATTTGATATTCAAACTTCATAAGATGATTGTCCATATTGGGTAGAAGACCCCTATTGATTTTGGGGTCACAAGGTCAAAGGTCAAGGTCACTAAAACCTTAAAACTGAAAACAGTTTCCGCTCATTAACTTAAGTATTTATCAACCTACAGCTGTAAATTTTATTAGGATGAACAGCCAAGTCCAATACAAGGCCCCTTTTTATTTTAGGGTCATAAAGTCAAAGGTCAGGCCACAATGATCTTTAAAACTGAAAATTGTGGTTTCTGGAGCATAACTTAAGTTCCATTTGGCCCTTAGTGTTCAAACTTCATAGGATGATTGTCAATATTAGGTAGAAGACCCCTATTGATTTTCGGGTTACAAGGTCAATGTCACTTTTACCTTAAACTGAAAACAGTTCCCGCTCAATAACTTAAGTATTAATCAACCTACATTTGTAAAATTTTAAAGGATGAACAGCCATGTCCAATACATGACCCTTTTTGATTTTAGGGTCATAAAGTCAAAAGTACGGCCACAATGATCTTTACACTGAATAATGTGGTTTCTGGAGCTTATATTGGGTAGATATTTGGTAGACCCCTATTGATGTTTGGATCACGAGGTCAAAGGTCAAATTCACTATTACCTTTAAACTGAAAACAGTTTCCGCTCAATTACTTAAGTTCCATTTGGCCCACAATATTCAAACTTAATAGGATGATTGTCCATATTGGGTAGAAGACCTCTATTGATTTTGGGGTTACAGGGTCAAAGGTCAAGGTCATTGTTACCTCAAAACTGAAAACAGTTTCCGGAGCATAACTTAAGTTCCATTTGGCCCACAATATTCAAAGTTCATAGGATGATTGTCATATTGGATCGTCATTATATCGTCGTCGTCGTCATCATCATCAAGGTCATAATACGTGCAGCGTCATTAGTTTTTAATAATAATAATAATAATAAAAATAATAATAATAATCAAACATTTTTAAATTAAAAAAAAACAACAACAATATTTCTATTTACATAACAATCATTACTGTCATTGATCAAATCTTTTACCAAATTATTTTTCAAATAGAAAAGTGACTAACATGATTCATATACCTTACATAATATCAGCAATATAACTTGATAGTTAACAACATTTTTAAAAGCGATTGGAAATAAGGAAGTGTAAGCTTTGTTATTTATATACTTTTATTTAGGTATAAAGTCATGAATGGAAACACGTGCAGACGACTTACTCAAGAGGACTTTCAGTAAATCTGTTTAGGGGATAGATAAATGTAAGGAATAAAATTTTCTCCGTTGTAAAAAAATACAACAAATAAATAGTTCAAGATGTAATCAATCATTGCACTGGACATGCGTTTTATTAGACACGGATCGAATTATTTTCGATTCCTAGATTTGTTGCAATATTTCTTTTCATTTTTGTATTCACTTGTCTTTCCCACCCACCTGACAATTGTAGAATTATCATACTTATTGAAAAATGTCACCATTAATTTAAAATGAAAAACTTACGACAGCAGACAGCATAGCCGTCGACTGGAGATATCTCGCAATAAGTTCCTGTCGGACATGGCTGACTTGTCGGTCCTCCTCCACAGAAAATACCCGGTACTTGTTGCCCAACTGGGCAATAATTCGCTGAAATATTAAAAGAATTGCATGATCACTATGAAGTAGTTAAATGCTAAGACCTTATTTTTCATAACTTCAGCGAGAATACTCATTGTAAATGGAAGTTGATTGCATAAGCATTTTACTGTAAAACAATTCGTTCTAGAATCACATGATCTTGCACGTGTTAGTGATATATTTTATCGAGTCAATTCATTTACAGAACGTTTTGCCTCAGTTACATGCTGAGAAACCCAAAATACTGCCTTTTTCCTATTGTCACTGTTAAACCCAACCCAAATAAACAAACAAATTCAGAATTAACTGACTTATTACTGTTGCGCTCATTACACATATATGGGCAGTTTCAGAAGGAATACTGAAGTTTATTGTAACTTAGAATGTCCCATTCCGATATGATTTTAAGTTGAACCGTTTGCAGTTAAAATAGAACCAAACTCGAGTGATTGTGCTATAAATATACAAACTCAAATAATTTTATTGCGTTAAACAAACAATATATGTTTTAGCACACACAACATATCTATAGGCAGAAGACATGGAATATAAACATGCTTACCTTTTGTTTATTGTTTTAATGCAAACAATAGACATTGCTATAAGGCTACCGCTCCCCCTTTTCTAAGGTATATGTGATTGATTTAGTAAATTGATATTTTATCAAAATTTTCTGCGACTGCTCATCATAAATGAGTCAGCAAAATCTATAAAATCGCTATATCAGTCTTTCCGTAATTTAAGAATAAATTTTCTTGATCATCGTATAGAAAAGCTTTCGGGTGTATATTTATATAGGGCAAGGATTGATTATCTTCCCTTGCAAGTTTTATGGACTTGTCGGCCCTGTACATAGCCATTTTTCTTTTCTTTTTAATTTATTACGAAAACCAGTCATATCGGAACTCTACATACATGTTTTGATTTCTAATACATGAACAACAACCAAGACTAAATAACTAAAAACATTTCTTGAATACTGTATAAAGAAGGGGTTTCCCATAGACCATGTACAATCTGCAATAAAGTCACCTTGTGAACGAAGACTATTTACACTTCCGAGTTATTTGTAATATAGCTTTCAAATTTTGCATTTCGTTTTGGTATTTAAATGGTGTTCTATATTGGTCAAATCCTTCTAAAACCATGTTTACTTGTTAAAATTAGGCACCACCGGCATAAATGTATACAAGTTATATTCTGAACCGAAATAAACATATTTTTGCCACCTGTGTAAAGACACGAAGTGATAGTATCCTAAATGAATATTTTGCGTTAAATCTAAGAATAATATTTTCCTTTGTGTGACGCGTGGCCAAAGTTTCCATTTAAGTATCCCTTCGTTTTGTAACACTTATATAAAAACCTTATGAAATAGTATTATAAAACAGTGATAAAATGCTGAATCACTTGCGTAGATGTTGCGCCCGCACAATATGAAAACAAGTTAAATGTTGATGCTGCACATCAAAGACGCTGCCAAATGATGTGAGCAGTCAACCAGAATTGAAAATCGTTCTCTATTAAGTTGAATATGCGGAGCACAAATCAATTTTTCTCCATGTTCTTGGTATGTGCTCGTTGTTTAATAATAACGTTGCATATTTTTGTGAAAAAGTAGAACCTAATGCATAAATTCACAAAGTAATGCCATGTCTGAAATTCTAAAAATGTTTTTCTGTTGCGACAAAGATTGAAACGTCTGGTCGAAGCAAAAACAATGGATAGCAATTTAAATTGTAATGATTGGTATACTTAAAATGAATTCAAGACAATATGTGCCGTGAATATATCCCTTTAAATATTGGTACGAATATTGTATAATGTTCGAATGAATTTGAGGACGAGCTGTTCTGCAGTGATCTCCCCTTTCTGACCGTAGAGTTTACGGTTGCGGAAGAACCGCCTCTCTGATAATGGGCGTGGTTTAGGCTTTGTGACTTGTAATTTAATGATTTGACAAGTGATATTGATCAAAGTTGTCCTGGTTCCCTTCTGCCCCGTCAACGAAGACTAAATGCTAGCATACGGAGCATCATTTTAAATTTTTGCGACAATTCAAGGCGGAGCCGAACTTCAACAGAGGCGGAGCAAATGAAGTTAGTGAAACTGCCTCAGTCGTAATATAACCTCTTTCAACGGTTAAAATTTAGAACGATCGATTATAGACTGGCTCATCGGCACGTTATTTATTATGTAGATAAAATTAGATAAAGATAAAAAGAATATGATATTCAAACATGGCATTTCAGTTAGACGTTTATTCAAATGCCTTAAAGCTCAGTGGCATGTTGTACATCAGAAAAGCTATTTTTATAAGAAAATTTGAGAAGAGTGTGATTTTGTTAAAACAAAATAAAAATACACAAAATCAAGTCTAAAATTTTCCTCATTGCGATACGGACAAATGCATATCTACTAGACGCTGTAGCCGCCGCTTGCAAGCGGCGTCTAATAATTCCTCAAATCAAAGACAATATTTTGTACGACCACTCCATGTTTCAGTATGACACACTTTCAACGTTATGGCGAATCAAATGATTGGAAAACACTTTGTCGCTAACTAATTAATATGATCAAAGCAAAATATGGTGTAAAATCTAAATTGAGTCACAGAGAATCGCTTGAAGCTCAATAAATGCATGTACGTTTATAATTTCACTTTTGTAAATCAAAATGGGGCATCTGTTATAGATTATTTGTTGACAAAAGAATGTAATTTTAAAAATATCTGTAATTTTGAAATTTGTAGCATAAATGAATGGAGTGATCATGCACCCATTATATTTTCTTTATCATGCCAAAAGCATTTAAACGTATCTCGTGAAGAAGACAAATTACGGATTAAATGGAATGCCGAGTGCAGAGATGAGTTTCGCTCAGGTATAATCTCCAGGTTACCTGATTTAAATCGATTAACATTGATATGAAGCAAAGGTTCGTCAATAAATGATACAGTTAATAGTTTTACAAGCATTGTTAGAGAAGTAGCCGATCCTATATTTTCGAAACTTATCAATTGTAACAAAAATGTAACTTTTTGTGATACGCCCTTTGGGAAAAATAATGATTGGTATGATATTGAATGTCAAAATGCAAGAACTTGTTATTTAGATTCTTTACGAGTATTTGATAGTGTTAAATCTCAGCAAAATAGGGAATATTTTTGTTCATGTAAAAAAGAATACAAGGCTATTGTCCGTAGAAAGAAAAGAATTTTGAAATAAAAAAAATGAAGGAGCTTGAGAAGTTAAAATGTTGTAATCCAAAACAGTTTTGGAAGTATTTTGATAAAAAACAAAGTGTTAAAGGAGAAAATAATATTTCTTTAGATGAGTTTTTTGAGTATTTTTCAAACTTAGAAACCGATTTATTTCAATGTTAAAATGAAGAAGCTGAAAATTTTTGTTCCGTTCATAACTTTGACGATATTGACTGCCCATTCGCAGAATTAGATTGTACAATTACAGTTGAGGAAGTCTTAAAAGTTGTTAAGAAACTTAAAAGGGATAAGGCCATGGGTAGTGACTTATTGATGAATGAATATTTTATGGAGAGTATAGATATTATTGCTAGTCATTTTTGTGATATATTTAACGCGGTGTTAAATTCCGGTATTTATCCGGAAAAATGGTACGAAGGTGTGATTATACCATTGTTTAAAAAGGGCAACAGGGAAGATGTAAATAATTACCGTGGCATAACCTTAGTTAGTTGCTTATCAAAAATATTCACAGGCATACTTAATAATAGAATTATTTCTTTCTGTGATAGCAATAATGTTATATCCGACACACAGTTCGGTTTTATGAAAGGCCGTTCCACCGTAGAAGTTGCTGCTTTTGTTTCAATGTCTACTATCCAACATTTCCTAAATGAAAATAAACGATTATACGCAGCTTTTATAGATCTTAAAAATTGTTTTGATAGTATATATAGGAATGCTTTATGGCTTAAGCTCTATAGACAAGGGATGCAAGGCAAATTGCTTAGAATAATTAGAAATTTGTATGTTAATGTCAAATCTTGTGTTAAGAAATGTAATTCATATTCTGACTATTTTTGTTATGCCTTAGACTTACGTCAAGGGGAGGTAATGTCCCCTTTGCTCTTTGCGATGTTTGTTGAGGATCTAGAATTGCAACTACAATCGCCCGAAAGCCCTAGTATATGTATAGACGACATAGTTTTAATTTTGTTGTTGTTTGCAGATGATATGGTCATTCTAGGAAAGACTCCTGCAAGCAAATGTTCTTCAGATTTTGATCACAATAAAATTTCTTTCATCTGTTTGTTAAAATGGTTTCTCGACATATGCACATAATTAATTTAAATTATATGATTGCATATATGTGTTTATTGTATGATGAATTACTTTTGCACAAATCTCAAATACTATTCCTGCTTTGTTTTACTTAGTATGTATTATTGTGCAATCAATATACTTTTCAAGAGTTAACCTAACCATGTGACATGATATATTGTATTATATATATATATTTGCAAGACGATGTATTATGTACAAGTCTCAAATAAAATGTCTGTTCTGTTCTGTTCTGTTCTATATAACATGGACTGTAAAATTATGTGCAAACAGAGTTACATAATAATCAATCCACGCAGTATTTTCTTTTTGTAGGCCTGCAAAGAAAAGAAGCAGCATCCGTGTATTTTTAACATAATTACATTTTTACATTTGGCCCATAGTGTTCAAACTTCATAGGATGATTGTCCATATTGGGTAGAAGACCCCTATTGATTTTTGCTTCACAAGGTTAAAGGTCAATGTCACTATAACCTTAAACTGAAAACAGTTCCCGCTCAATAACTTAAGTATTAATCAACCTACATTTGTAAAATTTTAAAGGATGAACAGCAATGTCCAATACATGACCCTTATTGATTTTCGGGTCATAAAGTCAAAGGTCAGGCCACAATGATCTTTTACACTGAATAGTGTGGTTTCTGGAGCTTATATTTGGTAGAAGAAGAACCCTATTGATTTTTGGATCACAAGGTCAAAGGTCAAGTTCACTATTACCTTTAAACTGAAAACAGTTTCCGCTCAATAACTTAAGTTCCATTTGGCCCACAATATTCAAACTTCATAGGATGATTGTCCATATTGGGTAGAAGACCCCTATTGATTTCGGGGTTACAGGATCAAAGGTCAAGGTCACTATTACCTTAAAACTGAAAACAGTTTCCGGAGTATAACTTAAGTTCCATTTGGCCCACAATATTCAAAGTTCATAGGATGATTGACCATCTTTGATCGTCATTATATCGTCGTCGTCGTCGTCATCATCAAAGTCATAATACGTGCAGCGTCATTAGTTTATAATAATTATAATAATAATAATAATAATAATGATAATAATAATAATAAAAAATAATAATAATAATAATCAAACATTTTTAAATGAAAAAAACAACAACAATATTTCTATTTACATAACAATCATTACTGTCATTGATCAAATCTTTTACCAAATTATCTTTCAAATAGAAAAGTGACTAACATGATTCATATACCTTACATAATATCAGCAATATAACTTGATAGTTAACAACATTTTTAAAAGCGATTGGAAATAAGGAAGTGTAAGCTTTGTTATTTTTATACTTTTATTTAGGTATAAAGTCATCACTGGAAATACGCGCAGACGACTTACTCCAGCGAACTTTCAGTAAATCTGTTTAGGGGATAGATAAATGTAAGGAATAAAATTTTCTCCGTTGTAAAAAAATACAACAAATAAATAGTTCAAGATGTAATCAATCATTGCACTGGACATGCGTTTTATTAGACACGGATCGAATTATTTTCGATTCCTAGATTTGTTGCCATATTGTAATACATGCGGACCACTGCAAAAGAGAATTCATCCATGATTACGTGTGTCATTTTTGTATTCACTTGTGTATTCTGATTGGCAATTGTAAAATTATTATACTTTATTGATAAATGTCACCATTAAATTAAAATGAATAACTTACTACAGCAGACGGCATAGGTGTCGACTGGAGATATTTCACAATAAGTTCCTGGGGGACATGGCTGACTTGTCGGTCCTCTTCCACAGAAAATACCCGGTTCTTGTTGCCCAGATGGGCAATAATTCGCTGAAATATTAAACGAATTGCACGATCACTATGAAGTACATTGAAGTTAAATGCTAAGACCTTATTTTTTCATAACTTTAGCGAGAATACTCATTGTAAATTGAAGTTGATTGCAATAAGCATTTTACTGTCAAACTATTCCTTCTAGAATCACATGATCTTGCACGTGTTAGCGATATATGTTATCGAGTCAATTCATTTACAGAACATAAAAGGGGCAGGGGACCTAAAAATGAACAATTTTGTAGTTCAGTGTTGCCAGAAGGCAGAAACCCAATTCCAAATATTTCAAGTTCTATCTGTTTCACTGATAACCAGTTGCCCAGCAATATTGAAGGATAAATGATATACATTGAAGAAAATTAATGACTTACATCAATTTATATTTACCCCACCCAACAAAAATCACACCTTAAATATAATAATATATATATACCTTCATGGAGATGCAGTTTACTTCAGAATTCGTACGATTTCTTAAAAAAATCACTTACAGGCAGTGCAATCACCGGAATTTTAAAAAAAATGTTCATACGTTTAGATTTTTAACAAAATTTATCTTACGTAAGGGCCGAAAAGTTGCGATTGTCAAAAAATACATACAAAGCTACTAAATTGCTTACTTTCGGGTAAAACTCCCAAAATACTGCTCATATCCTACTGTTGCTGTTAAATCCAACACAAACAAACAAATACAGAATTGACTGACTTATTACAGTTCATTATACAATATAGGCAGTTTCAGGAAGTATATTGCAGTTTATTGTTGCTTAAAATGCCCCATTCAGATATGATTTGCATGGACACAGAACTAAATTTGTCTTTAAATATGAACATTTTTGCAGTTTAAGTAGAACCAAATTTGAGTGATTGTGCTATGAATATAAACATGTTAACATAATGTTTATTTCTTAATGCTGCCAAGAATAGGCTACCGATTCGCTTAGCTCCCCTTTTGCCTAAGACATGTGGTTGGTTTAGGAAATAAAATATTTTATCAAAATTATCCGTGACTGCTCATAAAGGAGTCAACAAAATCTCTAAAATCTCTATATCAGCCTTTACGTATCTTAAAATTAAAATGACAAAACCAACATAATGCGCTTGCGACCAGCATGGATCCAGACCAGCCTGCGCATCCGCGCAGTCTGATCAGGATCCATGCTGTTCACTATCAGTTTCTCTACTTGATATAGGGTTTGTAAGCGAACAGCAAGGATCCTGATATTTTTATAGGCCAAGGAAAGATATTTTTTTCTATTACCAAACAATCATATCGGAATTCTACGTACATGTATTGATTTCTAATATTACAACCAAGACTAAATAACTTACTAGTAAACTATTTCTTACGTCCGAATTTTGGATAAAAGGGTTTTCCTCAAGACCATATAAAATCTTGAAAAATATCACTTTAAAGCCTCGTGAACGAAGACTATTTACACTTCCGAGCAATTTGCAATATAACTTTCAAATTTTGCATTTCGTTTTAGTATTCAAAGGGTGTCGTATATTTTTCAGAACCGTCTAAAACTATAGTCTTTTGACTTTGATAAAATAAGTCACAATCACCTTTGTTGGCGACATAAATTTATATAAGTTATGTTTTTAACCGAAGTAATGCACATTTTCTACCACTGCTGTATAGCAACGAAGTTACAGTGTCCTAAATGAATATTTTGAACAGTTTCCTTTGAATGACACGTGGCCGAGGTTTACATGTAATTATCCATTCGTATTGTAACATTAATATAAAAGAGCCTTAGAAAAATATGATAAAAAATAAGCGGAAAAATGCTTAAACTTGCAACTCACATGCGTTGATGTTGTGCCCGCACAATATGAAAATAATTCCTAAAATCAAAGACAATATTTTGTACGACTTTTCCATGTTTCAGTACGACAAACTTTCAACGTTATGGCGAATCAAGAAATGGGAAAACACTTGATCGCTAATAAAAATGACCAAAGCAACATATTGTCTAAAAACCCAAGAATTGCTTGAAGCTCAATAAATACATGTACGTTTATACGATATCGAGTGTAAAATATGTGCAAATAGAGTTACATGTACATAATAATCAATTCACGCAATATTCTCTTTTTGTAGGCTTGCAAACAAAAAAAAAACAAAAAAGCAGCATCCGTGTAATTTATACATTATTCATTTTAGTTCGATTATGTATAAAGCTCATAAGCTTTTTTCGGTACTGGAACCAACTAAAACTCAGCAGTAAGTGTCAAGTTCACTGCTTAAGGAAACAACGGCTTGCCCTTACCATGTTTTGACCATATGCGGTCAGCACCCGTTTTGAAAATTTTAAATGGCTTTTTAAGGGTATACATTGTATTTATTAATAGCATTAATACTGTACACTTTGAATAGATGTTATTTCTTAAAAGTGGCAAGACAATTATTTATTATTTGAAAAGCATTTCTGACATCTGGCAATGTTCAGAATTCTGCTTCATTACCTCAAAAAATAATAAGGTTTTGCATTCGTGTATGTCGTTATTATATTATTATAGACGCTTGCAAAAGGTATTAAGTTGAAAGTTTGTTATACTGATATAATTTTCGGAAACAATTCATGCTCTACTTTAACGTATTAAGTCTGTGTATTTTACAGTTTGGACAATTATTTCAAAAAATGTGTACAATTTTCTGTGAAATAAGTTGATAACCCTATTTTCCTCAAAACAATATCCACGTGTCTCTGGTGATAAATAATAAAATAAGTACATAATAAAATGGTAAAACATATTATATTTATTTATGTATAAACTTATAAATATACAAGTTTAAGCACTAGACACTGTTAAAAAAGTTAAAAAAAAAAAAGATTAAAAAATATTTTAGATAATCGCAATATTTTTTGTTATTGCCAGTGTATTTGCGCGTAAATAACGCGTTTGTGTTTATATAGTTAACTGACGAGGCATTCTACACAAGTGTGTAAGTCAGTGGAGATTAACCTTGGAAATGAGATTGACCGAAATCAAGGAACGTGTAACTCTGGATGCTACTCAGAAAATAGAAACGAGGTAAGCGCTTTTCTTTGTTACATTTGTAAGTTAAGTTGTGTAAACCTACTGAATTTTTTATTCATGCATTTTTCACACTGTGTTAATATCAAAAAATAAACATCAACAACAAACATCATCATCATCATCATCATCATCAACAACAACAACAACAACAACAACAACAGCAGCAGCAGCAACAACAACAGCAGCAGCAGCAACAACAACAACAACAGCAAAAACAACAACATCATCATCATCATCAGCAACAACAAAACAACAACAACAAAATTTACAAACAAAAGCAAATGGTAATCAAGATCTAAGATATTTCATAGCAGAACAATCGTTAAAACTATTTACTTACTTTGAACCATGCACCTTGATTGTAGCTAAGGGGGTTGACAATAATGGCAAAACCGCTGTTATATCCCTGCTTGATCGCAAAAGGCGACCAAATAGGTTCGAATTAATGAAGTATTTGTATCTCTTGGTTCTGACTCCTGGTGTTGCATGAAGTTTTAAACACCCGAGGTTAGCCAAAATCTTTTTTCCTGTATGGTACGGAATATTTGTAATGCTTGTAAAAAGTTCTCCAAGACAACTGATAAGAGATTATGGGCGATAATGTTTGGGTAATTTTGAATTTTCTTTGTTTTTTTTTTTGTATTTGGTTTTATATTTCCTATTGTCCAGCTTTCTGGAATTACTCCTTTATCAAAATCAATATTTAATAATTTAATTTTTATTTTACGATAACAATTTTATCTACACCTAGATGATTTTTTTTGAATTTAGATTTTTTAACATTACCTTATATTTTCTTTTCTGTAATTGTGGCATTTATATCCTTATTTTCAGTAGAACAGTTTCTAATACCGTTATATTGATAATCTTCATTTTGAATTAATATCTTCGTCCAATGTTTTAAATACTCGTAAAACCTATGTAATGAGGCCATATTTTCTTGTTTAAGTGTGTGTTTCCATTAATATTATGCCAGTATTGTTTTGGATCAGCGTGTTTCAACGTACGTATTTTTTTCAATTTTACTCTCATTTTAATCATTATGTGCTTTGCTTAAAGTGTTTGTATATTGTTTACTTAATGAAAACGGTTCACAAACTTTTCTTTTAACTTTCAAGATGAAATTGAAAATACAGTCGCTGATGCTGTTAAGACTATTGTCTCATGACTAGACTTGAAAACGAAATAAAAGTCTTAAAAGTTATGTTTATATATTATGTAGTTATATAGTATGTATACATATTTGAATATATAAAAGAACCATTTCTTTAACGTACTTTTATAAAGTAGCAACAGCACTAATTCCTTGCTCGGCGGGCGTATAATATTTACATATAAAGTCCTGATACCCTGAACATTATCTATAAGCCATTAGTTCATGTATATGTGAACATGCTTAAGATTTTAACACGTTTAGTTTAATCAACTGCTCTAATATTTATTTATGTAGATAAGTATTGATAACTGAACAAGTAACACTTGACTTATTACTTACGGGTAGTAAATCACTGTTACTTTCAAATAAAGGGATTTGACTTGAGTACTTTAATGTGAGGCTGTATCGAGAATTAATGGCATTTCACACAATTTGACTGAGGTAAACATTTCATAAATTAGAGAGCAATTTTATTAGCTTTTTATTTTGCCTCCCTTTCATGCCTTTCTTTTGTGTTATACATGTATACTTTTATGCAGTTTATATTGTATATGAAGAGCAAAGGTGAATTCATTTTGAGTGTGATTACCCTTTCAATTGTTATTCAATTTTTATTTTACTTCGTCTAGCATCGATTTCTATCATAGGGAGTGAGGAGGGAGCAGGTGTCTAGTCACACCGGCATTTTAAAGGTCATACCTACATTTTAAAGGTCATATAGCGACTTTCCAGCTTTAACGGTTGGAGATGACAATAGATGCCCATCTGGTCCATATTTCAGACACGAGCTGGCACCTGATGAGATTACCTTACAACGTTTTATTACCTTTATAACATCAATGTTCTTGTCGGTAGAAAGTTACTTATTTAAATTCAATCATTCCATAATTATAGGTATGGCAGATAGCGGCGTGGTCTTCAAGCCGAAATTCGAGAACAAAGTTGCCATAGTAACAGGAGGATGTCAGGGTATAGGCAGGGGATGTGTTGATGTATTGGGTATGCTACAAACTGTCAATCAATTTATATTGATTTATCAGGGTATTTTTTTAATTAGAATAGTGTGTTAAAGGTTCATTTAGCTTCAGAAATGCTATCAGTGTATTTGTTTTGTTTACTTGTCTAGTTACAGTTTTAGTATTTAAATTTTGCTACATTGATAACACATATGCAGTTTCAGTGCTGCTCATTAAACAGTTGTTAAACATCTAAAATGCTCTAAAAAGAGAAGATATGAATTATCGTAAGATAATAGTGAATAAAGCTTCGTCGGACCACAACTTGTAGTCTTTTATTTTTTGTAAAATATTTCAAGAACTGTAAATCAAGTCTTAAAAAAATCCTCATAAAGATGTTCGAGTAGTGTTAACATTAATCAGGAAAATGTTGTCTATCTGTATTTCAGCTGCGAATGGTGGAAAAGTAGCTGTTATTGACATTGATGGTGAGTAAAACAAAATGCTCTGTTATTTATCGTAGCTTATATTTATATTGCAAATTATTTATTCATATCAGCCTTAATGTTAGTCTTTTATGTATTATTTTGTAATAAGATACGTTGCTTTTATCTAGAAGCGCGTACAGTATTAATAATATATTTACACATGAAAATATTTCAAGAACTTAATAAAAAAAAGTTGGGGGTAATGTACATAACCACTTTTATTTTAAGAGATTTTTGAAAAGTTATTTCTTGTACAATTTAGACGATACCGGAGAAACGTTGAAAACAGATGGTCCTGGACAGATATTGTTTGTTCATTGTGATTTAGTGAAGGAAGACGATATAAAGGTATACCATATAATGACCCGCGTGACGACAAAACCAACATAGTGGGTTTGCGACCAGCATGGATCCAGACCAGCCTGCGCATCCGCGCAGTCTGATCAAGATCCATGCAGTTCGCTTGCAGACCCTATAACAAATAGAGAAACTTATAGCGAACAGCATGGATCCGGAAAAGACTGCGCGGATGCGCAGGCTGGTCTGGATCCATGCTGGTCGCAAACCCATTATGTTGGTTTTGTCGTGACGCGGCTCATATATATATTTCAATATCTGGAAAAAAGTGATCCCGCGGAAGCATCAAAATCAGCAAAGTTACTTGAAAATGGAGGCTCGGTTTAATTGAGTCGGCACATGAGGGATAATGAATAAGTGCAACACCCCTCACGCCCCTAGCACCGGCTTGAGCGGTACTCAATTCTCAACACTTAATAGTGCTGGCATAAAGTGCAACATCCCACACTTAAAAGTGCTGGAATCATTGATCCCGAAAGATCAGAAAAATATAACAAGAAGTTTAGTACGCGGCAACTTCCCATATATGCAGGATAGAAGGAAAAGCCACTTAACTGATTTATAGAAAATTTACAAAGCAAAAAAGAAAGAAAAAAAAAAGAAAACAAACAACAAAAATTCAGACCTCGCTGTCGAGTCATATTTACAATATTTACTTAAGTCATTGCTCGATGAATGATTTCTTTCACCCTTCTACAATCAGCGAAGTATATGTTATATAGTTCTACATTGTCTATTTATCAAGCCCGAATTAATTTAATTTCTATTAAAACATTGCACTTTAGACTAGTATGATAACGAATAAAAACGAAGATATTTTATTTAGGCAGCCATACATACAGTGATCTCAAAGTTTGGAAAAATAGATTGCCTTGTCAACAACGCTGGATGGCGTAAGTTTTCATTTAAAATAATTCGGGTTTCTTTTGGCATTAACTTTTGTGTTGTTTTTAATGCCATTAATGTTATGCAAAATAGATTATGAAACCTACACTGCATTTGTCCGACGATTTTGCAAGTTCGTATTTTCTAGATAAAAAGGACGCCAAAATGAGGCAGATTACGACACATTGAATATGTCGTGATTACGCAACTTATTTTACGTCTTATCACATTTTCGCATTTTTGTTTGTGTCTTTGTTTTTATTACTTTGCTTTATTGCATTTTTGAGCTTTAATCTTTTGTTCTTTCGCATCTTGAAGTTCCAGTAACGCATGTCGGATTTATTACACACAATGCCATTATCATTTTATTTACAAATATATGTGAATATAATTTGTAAGCTCTCGACGTTGCCATTAATGCCATTAACAACATCGTTAAAACAGGAGAGAAAATAAAACAAAACCAAAAAACACATAAAAAAACATGTTAGAATATATTTTTGTAGATCCTCCAGCAAGCAGCATCGATGGTTTTTCAGCTGAGGATTTTCGTCAGTTGTTGGATTTGAATCTCGTTGCTTATTTTCTAACTAGTAAGGTAACTAGTTAATCAATTGTGATATTTTCATTATATAAGAACATGATTTATTTATCAATTCTGTGACATTAATAAAAAATTTAAATGTTGTAAAGCAGACTGGCAACTTAGATTAATAGATACCCGCCAGCTTAGATTAGAACTTATGATATAAATATCCAAGTTGCATTGCTCTTGCTAGGCACATAGTTCTGTAAAATGCTACAGTTGATGATGTTATATGTGTATTACACATTTGTCCTCTAATGCTGTTTAAAATAACTAATATGGCGGAATATAAACATAGACAAGAAGTTCTTCTAGATAATTCGGAACACTAAACAGCAGTAAAGTTTATCCAATCTTTAAAATGAATCACGTAGTGACATTATATCTAATGCCATGATATCTTCTTAATGATGATTTTTTCTTAAGTGAACGTATTATGTAAAGAGTTTTAGATGTAAGACTTTGTTTCAGTACGCGTTGCCGTATCTGAGACAGTCCTCTGGAAACATTGTGAATATATCAAGTGCCGTTGCTATCTGTGGTCAAGCTGATGCTGTGACATATACAACAACTAAAGTAAGTTACAAGTGTGATAAAACAGACGAATATAAGCAATATAGTAATATTTTCAAAAAGGTGAAAATGTTGAAAATATTTTTTTAATTTGTATGCTAGTTAATGTACTTGTTAATATGTAGTGCATTTTAGGAGTAAAATGTTTTGATAAAGGCCCTTGTGGCTATCAACCTTTCAGTAATTAGACAGAGCACCCTGATATTGTTTTGACTTAAGCCAAATTTTACCCGTGAAGCAGTCATCAAAAGCACGAGGATATATTTAGGGAAGCAATATATTTAAAATAATTTTTATTTCATATAATTTTTTAAGTAGTTGAAGGAACATGTGGACGCCATAGATTACGATCAAAGGTTAACTTTTCAGCTGAACTTGTGAGGCAAGCCATAAAATGTCCATTTATTTAATTATGGCATGAGCGGGCAACTGTTTTATGAGCTACCTTGGTAGCTCCCTCAAAGACATTAACGAGAGCCGCTACCATAGCAAATGTTAGACAAATGTCTATTAAATTAACTTTACAGGGAGGAATAATAGCTATGACTAAAGCGTTGGCAATTGACGAGGCAAAACATGGCGTCCGGGTTAACGCGTATGTTTGATTTACACGGATTTTTGAAAATAAGAAGAGATAATTATATTCTCTATGCACGATATAAAAAAATTAATTGTAAAAGTTTAAAATATTGGTAAAAGATTTTTATTCTGACTAGTACATTTGTATTGTAAATATGTATTCAGTTTACATATTAACGAAATCATTTTCAATCATTTAAGCTGTTATTGTTACGAAACCATAATCTTTATTTGTTTTTCAAGTTTTAAAATTTTATTTTGTAAAAAGTGACGTGAAACCCCTGCGTGCACGTATTATTAACTCAAATCTCGTTCATGAATTTCAAAAAAACATTTGCCTTTTTTTCTGTAGAATTTCTCCGGGTTCGACCTGGACACCACTTCTTGAAAAGTTATTGAAACCTATTGACGACAAGGAGGCTGAAGTAGCCAGATACGAGGGTCAGAGTGTAGGTGTTGATGCTACATGTATATATAAAACGTGATAAAATATCACAATGACTTATCAGGATTTGTAAACATATTTGAGCCGCGCCACGACAAAACCAACATAATGGGTTTGGGACCAGCATGGATCCAGATCAGCCTGCGCATCCGCGCAGTCTGATCAGGATCCATGCTGTTCGCTATCAGTTCTCTTCTTGTTATAGGGTTTGTAAGCGAACAGCATGGATCCTGATCAGACTGTGCGAATGCGCAGGCTGGTCTGGATCCATACTGGTCGCAAACCCATTATGTTGGTTTTGTCATGGCGCGGCTCTTGTGATTTGTCTTTTTTGTTTAAACCGTTAATTGTAAATGTGCCTTATTTCATTTTTACCTGTCTCAGATATATTGAATGGAACAATTGTCATGTACTTACCATATTTCACAAATGTATAAGGAATATGTAAGAAATGACTAGACTGGAGCATAAATTTCGTTTTCAATCAAATTATTTGCATGTGGTTGATCAAATTTTATAGCAGGCTTTTACTTGTGATATTACTAATTAAGTATCAATGATGATGTATATCTTCATCACCTGGTCAGTTAACAATTACCTTTAGATAGAAATTAATGTACTAAACGACATCAGTGCCTACAGTGCTTTGATTTAATACTATTGTTTGTAAATGATATTGATATAATATTATTTCAATAACTATAAACAAATACTTTTGTTTTTTATCGTTATAGTTACTACGGCGACTCGGGGATGCCCGTGAAATTGGCAAGGCGTGTTTATTTCTGGCTACCGATGCAACATACACAACAGGCGAGAATTTAAGTTGTTCTGGAGGTATGGAGGTTGGGTTTGGACAGAAATGCTGACGCTGTTTAAACTAGTTGTCTTCCATAACATGCTGACATGTATTATTTCTTCGTCAGGAGCGATGTAGCCATTTGTAAATGTTATCAGGGTTACGGTATATTCATAGAAAATGAATAGGATAAATACTTTGTATTGAATTGTCGAAGGGTAAAATATTTCTGGTGGAACAAATACAAACTCTTGGCGTAGGTTCGATGTTATGTATATTAATCCAACTAAAAGTGGTCTAAAAAGATAATAAAATAATTATACATCTTACAAGTACAATAATACATATAAAAGCAAAATACAATGAAATAACAATATATACACAATCGACGCGGAATAAGAATACAATCAATATCCTAATATTAATGATATTATTTCTTACCACAGCGTCTGTATGAAGATATTAACTTATATAAACTAAAGGAAAAGGACGACGCTTCTGGTCTGGTTTGCAGTTTTCAATTTCTCGAATGTTTCTAAAGCACTGTCTAAACTATAGGATTCAAAGGCAAGTTTTGGCTCTTCAGATTTACCACCGTCATAATCTACTACAATGAACTTTTTCGTCATTTTAATATGTCTTCGCTGGTTTTCTAAGTAGGCGAATAGAAAAGACTGGACCTGAAACATATACACTTTAGATAAGTACTGTGAACGTGATAATTATGGTAGCCATTATGTTTAAGTAAAGCTAGGTTAAATTTAAAGAAGCAATTTTTCCACAAATGTCAATTAAACATTATTTTTGATGTTATATAATCCGGTATCTGGTAAGGTTTACATCCTCTGATTGTCCAACGTGTAAGGATTAAATAGTATAGGCTTGCTCAGCCTAAGATCATGATTCTTCACTAACAGGATAGAAACATCTCTGAATATGTCTAAAAGTACGGTCCAGGATAATCCTATCTCACGTGGGCTTATCTCACACTCCACGTGCAATACTTCTACACATACGCGATATTCACTCATCTGTAAACAACAATGAAACCTTATTAGGGCCATATGTGTTCACACCAGGTGCCAGTGATGACTTAATGATGACTACAGGTAGGCTATAATGTTCCTTTGTATTTTTTATTTGACTGTGCATTGTCTGGAGACACGATACGGTAGTTTTGGACTCGTTTTCTCATTATTTCATAAAATATTTTGAGCGGGTTAAAATGACAGCTATGATCCGCTAAATCATTGTATTTATTTCAAAATATCTCAAGTTTGAAATAAATGAAATCATATCGTGCAATTATCACTTAGTGTCTCGCATACTAAATCAGGGCTGGGAATCAAAACTGCGTCATATCCTGCAAGATGTAAACAAACGCCGCCATCTTTGAACGGAAAAGGTATGTTTTTGTGTATTACTCTTTTTGTTGGAAATGACTGAAAACCAAATAAAACAACAAAGAAGAGTTGTTTTTAAAAATTTCATCCATTTACTTGTATACTATAAATATTTAAAGTACATAATTATGGATGCTTTTTTAAAATCTTACCGGTCTTTGTTGTTTTATTGAAAATAAGATGTTTTAAAAACATTTTTTGAGTGAAAAAAATATTTTATTAGTGAAAAAAATATTGTATTTATAAAAAATAAGTGGGCGTGGTGCGGTACATTTATACTATCCAAGCCACACACCGACTGCCTTTGTAGTCAGGTAGAAATGTAGAAATGCGTGGCTGCCAATGATAACAGAAACCCTCTCAAAGTGGCTAACATTCTGTCAGAAAAATTAAGATCATTTATCTGTATCGTACCTTTACGTGTAAAATTTTTCTCTTGAGAGAAAATATCCTAACATAGAAATCCTAAAAAAGAAAAAAAAATCATAGTTTATCAAAAATTACTTTTTGCCTTTTGATGTTTTGTAAAATTAGAATTAAAGTAATAAATGTTCTTTAGGCAGATAATAAATGTTTACGAAAATTTATAAGTATAAAACATTTATCACATACCTGTAATCAAATGTCCTAACGAGGCTCGTGTGGTATCTTCAGTCACACAATGATCCAATGTACAACCGTTTAGGAGTAAGTCTGCTTTATATAACACATTGTAATATCATTTTCCATGAAAATACTATGATCAGATTTCTTCTTGGAATAGCGTAGGGTACTTCTCTCTATATTTAGATTGACATTGGAATAAACATGATACATTTTCTTTTTACATCGCTGTTTTTATTTTGCGGTTGTCAAGTTTTCCTTATACAGCTCAAGTCGCACAATGATCAAATGTACAACCGTCTAGGAGTAAGTCTGCTTTATATTACAAATTGTAATGTCATTTTCCATGAAAATACTATGACTAATATGAACACTATAAGATTCCTTCTTGGAATAGCGTAGGGTATTTGTCCCTATACATGTGTTAAGATTGACATTTGAGTAAACATGATACATACTCTTTACAAATTTGTCGTTTTACATAGAAATCTAGAAGTTTTTATCTTTTGCTTATACAGCTTTTGTCCCATTTTTTTTCTTGAAAGTCGTTTTCGTAATTTCTATGAAAATATTCACAAACAGGAAAATTAGATTTTGTGATAAAACTAAAATACGATTCTTAATAGGTACCTATATTTTTTCCTTGTTGTTGTTATTGCACATTCTAGAATGTTTGCATGAAAATAAACTACATTTCTTTATTTTGTGTTACAACAAAACAAAGCAAATAAGGCAAAACTGGTACTAACTTTTCCCTTCTTAGTAAACACACCGTACAATCAAATGGGCAGACAGCTGTTCCAGCGTCCACAGCTGTACCAGTATATACATGTCGGCGCGGGGAATACAATTGACGTACGGTCAGTATTCATCTATTTTTAACAAATCCCAACTGTATTCGAGTAAATCAATGTTATGGATTCATAGTCAACATCCAAAGGAGCATGCTAACAAATTTTTGGCCCTGTGCAAGCTTTACTTCACATGAATTTTGACTGAAAATAACCACACTATCCGATGAGATGCGGTATTTTTAGTTTGAAGTCACAAAAACTTATATTTTCTCATGATAATTTAATCCTTTTTTCATTACGATTCGTAAACGTCAACATTTCGTCATTAAAACATTCCAAACCATACCTTCAAAAAAGCTTTTCTGTTAAAGTTATAAGGTATTTAAGTTTGAGTGTCATCAAAATTTTAGTAATCAGCTGTTCGCTTCTTTGTAATGATAACATCGACAGCAATTCATCAGCAAGAACGAATAACGCTGAAAGCTGTTCAAAGAAACAATTACATGTATTTACAACAGCGCCTTTGTCCTACAGTAACTAGGAAAGAGTAAAACTTTTTTGTTAATTTAGAATATTACTTTTTTCATGATACTTTCTAATTATATTATTTTTATTATTACTTTCTATTATTTGTTATATCTTAGGTTAGAGACCTTGATCTCCATTTACCACACTGTATTTCAATATAAAAAGGTAGCAAAACCTATTAAAGGGACTCCACTAAGGTTTTTTGACATGACGGACTGGAAATAATTTTTGAGATTATTTCTCCGTTGATGTAGATCTATACTAGTAACTTATATGCAAAATTTCCGATCATTAGCTTGCTCCGTTTTTCCAGAATATTATAATAGTGAAAAAATGACCCAAAAATTGAAAAGAGTTCAAACGCTTTTCACTCAAATCGGACTGAGAATAGCACAAACATATGATTTTCAATGTATTTCTCCTATATTTCTTGGTTATATTTTATTAATATTTATGTTTTAGTGCTCATGTTTTTTTTTATGTGAAAAAAATAAAATTTCATGTTTTTAGGCTTATAAACCTCAGTGGAGTTCCTGTAATAGGTTTATGAAATGTTTAAGTCAAAAAGCAAAGGCAAATTTAACGCTTAATATGAATATTCAGTCTTGTAAATGAAGGCATCCATCAAATGTTATTATAAATTAATTCATAAAAATGGACAAGTTCTTATGCAGTGAATGGCTGTGTAACCCTAGATATGAAAGTGCATGGGAAAACATTTGTTATTTTATCCTTGAAATCTGTTTTAATGTATAGTGCAATAGAAATAATAACCATTCTTAAAAAATATTCAAATTTTTGTTTTTTAAATAAATCATTTTATATGGCAGACATCTCGGGTTACATATCCATTTACTGCATGGGACATGTCTACTATATGCCATTATTTATAATAACACTTGATGGATTTAGTTATAATACAGAGTATTCGTATTACAACTCGTATACTTTCTACAGACAATTTGTTTTAACATATACGTATATTGCATCATTCGTTCGTTTGTTCATTCGTTCGTTCATTTATTAATTAGTTAATTTATTCATTCATTCATTCACTCACTCATTCATTCATATGAACAATATCAATATTGAAATACAGTGCGGTAAATGGAGATATAGGCCTTTCAGCTTAGATACAACAAATGATAGAAAGTAATAATAAAAATAAAGTCGGCATCGTACTTGCGGCCACCTTTATTAAGCGACTTTTTTATTAAGCGGCCGCATAAAATCCCTCCCGATGATTTTTACTATTTAATTTAATTCCATTAAACGACTATTTTATATCGCGGCCAGCGGCCACTGAATGTCGGCCCAAATGTACAAAATTAAGTGTTAAAGTATCTATTAAACGGCCGTGACAAACAATCGTCCCTGCGGGCATTCACCCATGTGTAATTAGCGAGTAGGTTAGATGTGTACAAGCAAACAAACAAAATAATTTTCATGGTCATTGGTCACAAATAATTGTCGTTTAAAAACGAAATGAATAAACAATTGCAATCGTTTCAAAATCGGGATTTTTTCCGATCGTACTATTTATTGTGACATATTTTGTCAGAGCAATAACGTATCACAACACCCGCGTTTGCATAGTTTTGTCATGTGCTGAGAGTGACCTCCCTTATCGAAAATGATGTCGGAATCGAGCGAAAAAAGACAGACAACTAATAAGACCGGATAAATTGTATGAGGAAATCGTGCATGGAATTGAGTCTGAGTAAATAGCAAATGTCATCGATTGTAGTCGAAATAAAAATCGTGAAACCTAGTAGACTAAACATTACAGAGCCGAGCCTTTCATTGCTGATGG